ATAATCATTTGTTGCGGGCTAATATTAGCTCCTGGCTGTGTAGTGGAATGACATCTGAGGCACAGACAGGAAGAGGAAGCATGGCGGGAGGTGGGAGAATTAGAAGGGAGTAGAGGGTGAAAGGTAGAGGGGTCGTGGAGATGAGGCGAGCGTGAATGAGATGAAGGAAAAGGACAGTGGAAAGAAAAGAAACAGAGCACAAAGGCGTCAGGAGGAAGAGGAAAGAGACAGGCAGTGTGGAGTAATTTCACACGCCTGGTTGCTCCCCGCAGACAGCACACCCCCCTCCACTCCAAAATCTCACACACATGCACACACACCCACATACTACATCTCTGCCCCCCACCCCCACTGGCTGGCGGGGTGGGGGTGGGGGGCAGGCATAGCGGCCCTTTGTTTGACATATAGCTGCACACAAAGACATTCAGACCTGAAATAGCAATGGAGAGTACACCCCTCCACACACACAGAGTCAGACACTCTCATCAGGACCACTTCTGATTGGCTCAAACTAAACAACGTGCTGATGCTGGAGGTTGCCTCTATAATCAAACAATGCTTCTGGTTGCATTTCTCTTTCCAAACGTCTGCACTCTTCTTCTCTGACATTATAAAATGCACTAATAATGAAGCTGCTTCCAAGAGAAGCTGCAAGAGACCTTTGTCTCCCCTCAGACAAAAGAGGAGCTATTGACTCTACAGAGCACATCAGCTCGCTCTGAGACCATTCCTGTCCTGAGGTGATGCGAGTCGACTGTCACTGGCATCCTCGCAGAGACCCTACATGAATCATTACACTGACTGTACAGTTCTCAGCGATCAATGTTTTTTTTTTCGTCTTCCAGTTTTGTATTCAGAACTGAAGCCAGAGTGTCTGTTGTGGGAAGGATTTTTTTTAAAGGTTTGATGCATATTGATCGTGAGTAAGAGTAGCATTTTGCCTCCATATGGTGCCTGAACGATGGAGGGGCATTCAGTGATAACCCGGCATGAAAGTGATTGTTGCACCAGCGTGCATGTCTGATGAAATCAGCCATAGGTTGTTGCATTGTCGGGGCACGGGAGCAGAAGTGCTGTAGTAAATGAAATGTTAAAGCTTTACTTACACCTGTTAGTGCTACTGTGCCGCGCACAAGGGGGCGGCTGCATACTGCATACAGACTTTATGAAAGATTAACGCCACCATGACAGAGACGCGGCAGCCATCTTTGTTTACTACCAGCTTTTCTTTTTGTGTATTACACTGAAGAAGAAACAAAGGTTCGGTCTCGAGGGTTGTGGTGGGGCTGATTTTGTGGCAGTAAAAGAACATCCTACTTTTTTTCTGTTTTGTAGTTAAGGCTTCTTTCCATATTTCAGGGGGGATCTTTTCAATGAGATGACAAGCTTTCTGCAGGAATCTGTGCTAAATGGATTTCACACCACACTCCTCGCAACAGGGGATTTATGGCGCTGGCGGGCAAGAGAGCAGTATCTGCCACCAGAATGTCAGCACTTTCCAATCCGCCATTTGAACTGCAAAACACTGTGGGAAAACACTGTACAAGATAGTTCACGGCATCAGCCCCCCTTGGAATCCTTTAAAAAAAAAACACCAAAAAACCAAACTTGAAACATAAAACGCAGCTGGAGTTTCTCCACAATAAAACCAGAATAAAACCCACAGAGGACACGAAGTCTGTGGGTATATACAAAGTGTAAGGCATTTCTGTTTCTAAGAAGTCTTTGTGAACGTGAGGAAGCCCAACCCTGCATTTTTTTTTCAATATGGAAGTTATTACCACAGTGCTTAATCCTGCACACTGTGTGCAGCTACTTAGAGAGAGAGAGAGTTAAAGAGAGAGAGAGAGAGAAAGTGTGTGCATGAAGGGGAGGGGAGAGAGGGGGGAGAAAGAGGTGAGGCTTTAATTCCAGCTGAGGATGGCAGGTATGTTAAAACCAGATAAAACGAGACATTAATTGAGTGACAGAGTTTGCCAGTGGGTTTTATCACAGGATACGTGAGTGAGTGTGTGTGTGTGTGTGTGTGTGTGTGTGTGTGTGTGTGTGTGTGTGTGTGTGTGTGTGTGTGTGTGTGTGTGTGTGTGCAGGCTTGTGAGAAAAAGAGGATTTATGCTTGTGTGGTCTTACTGAGTCTCTCTTTTTTTGGTTTGCTGGTTTTGGGCCATTCCTAGGAGCCCGGTGTGTAGGCAGGAGGTGTGAGAGCGAGGATGGGTGAACCAGGTGCCGCTTCCTTCCTCAGCGTGTGCAGCTGTCTCAAAAGCCTCTTGATCCCAACAGAAACTTGAAATCAGAGAGCTTTGATAGGCCACTCGGAGGGGAGGCTTTAAAAGATGTGAACGTCCTTGCACGTCATTTCTCTTCAGATGCTGTGGTTTGTGTCGAAACCTTCAGATTCTCACACAGTTCGAATCACCTCCAGGAAAGAGCAAAAGTGACCCTTTTCTCATACACGGACATACGTGAGTCCCGAGTTTGTTAATCAGTGCTCAAAATGTTTTTGCCTTGTGTGAGTGCGTCTCCAGCAGCCTCCGTCTGACGCTTTTAGCGGGGCTTTGAGGACACATTTGCTTTCATTTGAGGAGCAGACCGAGGTAATTTTGACCAGACCCTGGAGCCTCTGTGCTCATCTTTTCTATTCCCATCTCTTTTTTAGGCTGCCCTGATTCCATATCCTGGTTTTTTTGTAGAGGAGGTGAGGGACTATTGTAGCACAAAGTACAGCATTCACTCCGATGGTAACAGAGATACATGTGAACATAACGCACCCCTGAGTGCGCCATATGACGCCTCATTATATTTCACTGACTGATACAGTTCAGGCTTTACAGGAATTAAAGGCTCGGTTTGCCTAAAATACAAACAACACTGTTAGCAAAGTCAGATAAAAGCAACATTATCCACATGGATGCATTAACCTAACCATGGATTTAAGAGTTGTTGATAATTATAAATGGTTTAAACAGCTTCTTGGTTCTTCTTCTTCTTCTTCTTTTTTTTTTTTTTACAAATACTAATATCAGTTTGTGTGATCAGTCAGATGATCTGCATATGCCTTTGAGCTGACAACGAGCAAAATGGGCCTCATTCATGCATTTGTAAGCCGAATTAATTAAAGCGCAATGTATGGAAGCCTAATAGGTGATTATGTATATGAATGTTATTTGCATAATATATCCAATATATCCATTTTGTTAATGCTGATAATCGATTTTTGTGATTGCAGCCTATTTCCAAACATACACAAGAATAATAGCAAACAGTCACTTTTTAATGTGCTTACAAACAACGATAAACTACATTAATGACTTTTGTTATTTATTGTTATTGTTATAGTTCATTATTATTATTCACCCTGAATGAATAACTCTGTTGCATAGGATTTTGAATGACATAAACAGAATATGCATAAAACACAATAAAGATAAAAAAGAAATAAATCCCTGCATTAGTGGCATCCAGTACAACATGACATGATGTAAGCATGAAAAAGTGAATCGTATTTATCATTTAACATAAGAATTTATATTTTAGTAGCTCCATAATGTAAAGATTATCCACCATACAGTCTTTTCACTTCATAATGTGAAGCTTAAAATTTAAAATTCTATTTAGACGCTTCTTCCTTCCAAGCAACATTTTCAGATTAGTTTGTTGTTAAAAATGAAATATTAATACTTGATAAAATTGTAAATAGTTATGTAATTATTCTATAGCTTTTGCACAGTTATTGTCTTTTTCCACCTCCGTACAGTTCTGAGTAAATTCATTTGCCAAAAAATTGACAAACACATATTAAAGATGAGTTTTACACAGTATAAGTGTATATATAGTAATTACATTTTCTACTGCCATTTTAAGGAAATCATTATTGTGAGTCATTTTGAATGCAATAATCATGCTGTGGAAATTTGATATCATGACAGTCTGCAGCTGCACCCTGTCACAGAAGCAGGTAATCACCTTTCAGATACCTGTTATGAAGAAATCGTGGAAAAATTCAAATTTTTTACACAATATTTTTTATTGTAGGGTCTACCTTACATTATTAAGCACCTTGAGGCGACTGCTGTTGTGATTTTGCGCTGTATAAATAAGGTTGAATTGAATTGAATTGATGATATTTTTTACCATCTTTAATTCCATGTTGTGGTAAATATATTTTAGCCCTTTGTAATCTGCTATGACAGCACAACTTTTGTTATATTAAAAATTATAATAATAATTAATTCAAACAAAAAAAACAACCAGATGAGGTGTATTATTTTGGAACTTTTCAGTGTAATCAAAGTGATGTTTTACCGCTTTTGCAAGACTGGTTTAGAATCTAATGCATACAATAAAATCAACAGAATTGAATAAGAGTACAAAAACATATTTGCAGGGAATTTTGTGATCAAGCTGTTTAATTATTATAGACTCTTAATTAATATGAAGTTATTATATCCTGAGTGCAAAACTGAATCCATCCTTTTGGGGACTGTGTCTTGCTGACACACCCAGCACCACCAATAACTGTCTCATCTCTGAGGAAAAATATTCAGATTCCATTTAGTCTCCTCTCACACTTAAATCAATAACCATCCACTCTGTTACACCCCAACAACCTCTGCCTCCATTGGTCCAAAGACGGCAGTTGCTTTTTCTCTGAGCCAATTGATGCTGATAATCATAGGTATGGAGCTGCAGGCTGTGCGTGTGCATGATTAACGAGACTGCTATCAACACAAAACGGACCTCAGCGCCGCAGCGCTGCTTGGGACAGACATGGTCAACAGGGAGGTGCATGTATATGTACACACAGATGCAAAGCACATGCATCATATGCCTGTGTGCAGTCGCTGACCATGCTTATGTGATTTATTACAGTTAATTAATACAAAGATTCTATATGTGTGAGGAGTCCCAGTCCAGCCTGTTTAACACACACCACTGGCCCTCTATTATTATTCTTAAAGGAAAACAAATTAATTACTCTGACATTTGCTTTCCTCCCACAGGCCGGCCGTCAGCCTTTATTTGGAGAGCAGAAGCTTTTCCACACTACCTGAAATCAGCTGAGAGGTAGGAATTACTGCAAATGAGTCTGTTTACTGCCTGTTTGCTTCAGCCGTGTGAACATGAAGGTCACTTTCATTTGGCTTTGATTGCACTCAGTTGATTGCAATAAATTTATACTTCAAGTTTCTCCTTTTCAGATGTAATAGTTGCAGTGACACCTTGTAACCAAACTCTGTGTGAGAAAAGAAAAAAACAATGCTGTTCCACCCATGTCGGAATTTAATTGCACCTAATCATGGGTCCAAATTGAATAATAATATTTTTATTATATTTTATTTTTATATATATATATATATTTTTTTTTGTATTTTAATTGAATAAAATAAATTACATTTAACAAGTATAGCTCCATAAATCAATGAAAAGCATTTGCTTTTTTGTGGTTTCCACTGGTTACTCTGGTTGGCAGTCAGGTCAAGGTCACACTCTGCATGCCTCCTCTGTATAAAACTGCCTGTTTGTTCAGTCGGGCTGGTTCCACTGCTGATTAGGAGGCCACTGTGGCTGATAGTGTGAGGTGGCAGCAGGACGACTCCTCGTCCTGGAAACTTCCATGATTCAGCTGAAATGCATCAAGGCAGCTATTTTAAAGGCGACTCTAACATTCGGAATTATCCATATTTTTCCAAAGACGATGATACAAAGGCAGTTATTTTAATTAGAGTCTCTTATTTTTATGCTAAGGTCTTATAAATTGTGTTTTATATATATACAAAAAAGACATAGTGACACAGTAACAAAGGACCATTATTTCCTAACATGTCTATAAAAATGAGTGGGTGCTCATTTATTTTCATATATGGATAAACTGTTTTTCAATTACTCTGTGATAAGAAATGTAATTACTAACTAAATGGGTTTTTGGAGAATTTTTTTCATGAATGAATGAAGCAACATATTCATAAAGTTCATCACAGTCAGTAGGAGGTGGTTGGGGTGTATGATGGCCATACTAAGTGCTGACTAATTTATGTCCAGCAAAGCATCTTTAAAGAATAAAGATAAATAATAACTTTGTATTTTTATTATTTTTATTTTTTAAATAATATTTTCTCACATTAAAACAACTTTTTATCGCATGTTCTATTTGTAATGATTCACAGGCACACATATTATAATCTACTTGCTCCAGTGTTTTTGGAGCAAGTCGGTTTTGCCTTGCTCCAAAAGCATTAAACCAGACATCAACTGCCTTACTGCACGCTGACGTCTTTTACTTTTTAGAATTTTGATATATTCTGCTACTTTCACTTGTGGTGGAGTAGTTTATTACTTGTACCTGCTGGCAGACATAAATCCAGTTAAATTCTCTTCTGTCAACACACACTGATGTCTACAGTGACAAAATATGATGAATAGGCTCTGGTTCTTTACACAGTGTGAGCTACATAATGCAGTGTTGGTCAGTTCTAACATGTATACTACGAAAATGGTTTCTGCCAGCCGGCTGAGCTTCACGTCAAGCGCTCCTCTGGCGTAGCTGTGTGTCCGCTGTGACAGACCACTTTCATAAAGTCTGCCTGTCAGTCCATTCAGCAAATCATGCCCCACTGGAACTACTCTCCTTCCTCTAGCTCTGTTTTCTTTCTCTCTCACACACACAGATCCCTGGGGAGTTTGGCAGACATCCTACTCAGTTAACTAGAGGGATAAAGCAAACTGTCTGCACAGCTCTTGAGGAACGCCATAGCAACCTTTTCTCTCCTCCGAATAATCCCACACTTTCACTCTTATCCCTGAAAGTTCTTCCTTTGCTTGAAAAATCGACACTAAACACACAACAAACTTGCTCATAAAGACCAGGAGATAATGCTCTTGTGTCTGAGAATGTTTTAATTAGTTTTGAGTTCTGGGTTGGATTCAATCAGATAATCCTGCCTCTGCTCGTCTGCACCTGCTTCGTGGCTGTGAGTCACTGTATTCAATTTGCATTTGCACTCTTCGAAGCATGGAACAAATTACATAATTGCTTAAATGCTTGAATGTATTTTTTTTCTTTTCCTTTCTCTTTTTTGTTACACAACTGGCACATCCAGCTCCTTGCACGATTAATCATTTTCATCCCTGACTTCATTTTTCTTCCATCATTTTCACATTAGGATTAATATGACAAAAGCTGTCTCCTTCACCTGGCTCAATCAGCTAAGCTATATTTCAGCCTTATTACAGATCTTATCATTTAATGTGGCCTGGAAATGACTCCAGCCACGGTGCAGCCTAAAGGTAGTTACCTCCCATTTTAAATTGCTCTGCGGGAAGGATTATAAAAGTGACACACATTCTGGGATGCTGGGCCTTAGAGTTCACACTGGAGCTAATTAGGGAAAGCAACAATTTAATCTGTGATTCGCTACCACAGGCTCTTGCAGATGACAACTCAATTTGGTGCTCTGTACACAGAGAGGAGAGAACCAGATGTGAACATTTCTCACATGTGTGTGTGACAAGAGTGCTTGTCTTCCATTCCTTTCTATCCCTCCTAACCTTCCCTCACCCTCCCTTTCTTCACCTCTGTCTCATAGCTTCCTTCCTGTCTCTTTCTGTTCCCGTCTTTCTAATTGTGGATGCCAGCTGCTTCAGAGCCTCTGCTGCTGCTGCTGTGGTGCCACGCCTGCGAAGTGTCCAGCCCAGAGTCCCTCTCTCTTTTCTCCCCCTCTCTGCAGCTTCAACACAATAGCTCCCCCATCATGAAATTATCAGTGGCTCCATGGCCTCTCCTTGCGACACCGTGACACACCACTTTGTTGCATTGTGCCTCTTACTTGCAGGCACAGATGGCGGTATAGTTGGTGTTCTCTGTCAGAGTGCTGACACACGGTTCCTAAAAAGGAAAAGAAAAACAGCAGGGAGAGGGATGAGAGTGACAGTAAACACTGGTTAGCGCTGTCCTCTTAAGGCAAAAGGTGGGAGTCCCTCAGGTAGTCCAGCTTCCTCCCACATCCCAAAGACATCCACATTAGGCTAACTGGTGATTCTAAATCAGGATGTGCAGTAAAGTTCTGTACAGCCTACAGACTTTTAAGTGGACGCTAAGACTAGAGCAGTATATAAATACAAAGTCCGGTTCCATTTCCACACCCATAAGATGCTTTAAAATTAATTTCATTAAACAGGATGCAGCAGGGTTTAGATTAAAGGTTGCTGATCCTACTAAAAAGGCACTAATATAGGTGACATGTCAAAACATTAAAGCAGCAAAGCTCAAGAAAAGATAACAACATACCAGATTTTTCCAGTTAAATAAAGCTAATACTGCCGTTTACAGTCAGCTACACCGTAAAAAAAAATCCTAAAAAAACAGTAACAGCTCAGGCGCCAAAATAATACCATAAAATAACAGAAAATAACTTGCATGAAAATACGGTTATTTTCAGTAATGACAATACAGTTTGTTGCCCTAACTTTACATGGAATTTTGCCTTTTTCAAGTGCTTTTAAACATTAAATTAGGAACAATTTAATGTGATTAAACAATGAAATTACCTATAAACAAGGTCAATGAATGTGGCAATATGAATAATAATACTTAAATGTACAGAAATACACAGTTAACAGTTGGTTTAAATAATAATGGATTGCATTCATATAGCGCTTTATGAGACCCTCAAAGCGCTTTACAATTCCACTTTATAATTCCCCTCTGGCCATCACCAGTAGATAGCAGGTGAAGTGTCTTGCCCAAGGACACAACGACCTAGAGTGTCCAATCCAGGGCTTGAACCGGCAACCTTCTGATTACAAGGCGAACTGCCAACTCTTGAGCCGCGATCGCCCTAAATAATAATAATAAATATATATGTAAACATTTTAGAACACTATATTTATTTAAGTCCACAGTATGCTTATAATTTGCAGAATTTGGAACTGTTTGCATTTCATCTTATATAATTAATTCTGTTGAAGCATATATATTTCACATCTTATTATCCAGTATAATTCCATTTTTATTTTGTTTCCAGTGTTAAAATAGTAAAATATTCCAGGTCTTTTGCATTATCTTAATCTCTTTGTGCTATGCTGCATAGAAACAGCCCTGTTGCTGAGCTATTTTCCTAACTTAAACCAAAATAGTGTCCTCCTCCAGTGTAGCTCTGTAAATTACACTTGAACTGACAGAACAATCAGTATGATATCCACATCAGTTAAATTAATTTTTTTAGAGATGGTAAATGTACTGCGCAACTACAAAATTTAAAACTCAGATAAGATTGCAGGGGTGGGAGTTAAAAAGCTTGTCTTCATCCCACTCCTTTTCGAGCTAAACTTGTTTTTTTGTGTGTGTGTGTGTGTAATTGTACATTACAATAACTTTATTATTTGGTTGCTCGAATAAAGACATTCATTCATTCATTAAAAGGCATTAATATAAATATAATGTGGTGTACAAATTTAAAAACTAAAGATTTGACATGTTTTTGTGAGCTCTCTGGCACAAAATGGAAAAAGACATATTTGTTAGTTGGTTTTGGTTCTTTTCTTGGGATTTGTAGGCACAAAGAAAAAAATCTCAGAGTTTTCAGAGTGCTGTGCACATGTACCTACATTTGAGCATGTGTGTTCCTGTAGCATCCTCTAAACCACAGAGACTTTGATAGCAGCCCATGCAGAGCAACAGACACAGACCAATGGCTTTCTCTAATGAGCAGACTGTTGTTGGTCTGCCGTGGGGACCCTGCTTCAGGGCTGGCACACATTGCAAGATTTTATGAACTAATTAAGCACTAAAAGTTGCCTTCTTTGACAAGAAAGTCCAGATTTTTATGCAAAGTCAAAGAAAACTACTGGGGGATGGGAAAACATAGGAAATTTCATTCCTATGTTTCATTTGCATTTGCAGTTCAAGTTTAGACCAGATCTACGAGCACAGAAAGAGACAGTTTGCTGTTGATAGGTGTTAATGAATCTTCCTGAAGCTCTGCCACTGTCCTGATATGACCTGGCGATACTGCCACATTTACTTTGGAGAGAAAATGAAGGGTTAGGTAAGTATTAAAACCAAACAG